AGCATTGCCTGATGAAGTATTCATTTAAAATATATAAAAGCAAGTCTATGTGGCAGCAGTTGTTCAGGGTTCCCCGAGCCCATCCCAAAGCCCTGTACTGGGCTGTAATTGGAGGTATGCTAGTGGTGCATTCCAGTCACACAAGCCGCACTGCGGCACAAAGTGCAGGTGGGAAGCCTGCATTACTAAGTTTCAGACCTCTAGTTTTGATTCTGCCCCAGTTAGCACCTCTAAAGTGGAGAGACAGAGCTGGGATAGCAGACCCCAGAAGCCCTGCACCTGAGCCATACCTGAAGAAAACTTGGAAAGCTAAATGCCAGTACAAGAAATACCAGTCCAGCCCAAACGCAGCTATTTACTGCATCAAGAACTGATCTGCAGCTGTGTGATAAGTTGCATACACAAAATCATTCTTTCTCCTAAAGCATCAGCCTCATGCGTTGCAGTTCTGATTTGCCGGAGTAGTCAACTGAGAATTCCTCAAAAGCAGTTTACTCTTGCTTTACTAGTAATCCTCTGCTTGAATTTTAACTATAAAGCTGTACCGTGACCAGGATGGCATTGGGAATATCTAAGAATATCTTGCAGTTGAATTCAAGCATGGTCTTGCTTTGCTTTAGGATTACATATTAATTAAAACTTTGTGGCACCATAAGAACACAGGAAGTGCTTATTAGCTCAAAAGCATCTTGCAAGTTGTTTTGAGAAAGGCAATTAGGGCCATACCAATTGCTTTGCAGAAGCCCAAAGGGTATTTTGACTCTAGGTACTGCTGTGCCTAGAATGTGAAAACAGCATCCTCAGTTTGCAATTTACAGCACAGCATGGTTTTAGCCACATAACCTATTCATGGCTTGGCAATGCAGTATTTAACAGCCTTAAGATCACTGAGACATAATGGAAATCAAGACAAAGAACTCACTATCGGGAGGAGGTGACTTGTGAAACTACCCAAAACAAGTGTGATGGAGCACATTTAAGAACAAAAATCTTGACCACGGAACTCCAACTCTTTTCCTCTTAATGCAAGAATACATCAAGGGTTCTCATCATTGTTTCATCTCTACAGTGTCATTTGTCAGGCTGAAAAGGTTTCAGTTTTGCAGAGTGACACTGGACAACAGTACCTGTTCACAGCCCCAAGGCCTTAGAACACTTTATATCAAAACTCTAGCTTACAGTCACAAGGGATTGTCAACACAAGATTCACTCATGTAGAGACAGAAAAGTGACATTTAAAGTAGACATTTTACATACACAGTTTTCGCTTGTTTACCTCAAACTCCTGATGGTTCCATGAGATAACATTAGCACTACCAAGTTCTCTGTCAATATTAAATGCTCTCATCTCAGACTCAAGAGTATCTCTCAGTTCTTCCCGTGTTTTGAAGTTCCAAATCAAGTTTGACCTAGCATGATCCTGAAGAAATCTAAGAAAGAAGTTACATGGTTTAAGCCCCTTAAAACACCATCTGAAAGGCAGACAAGGCTCAGCTGGCAAGCTACAGATTAGCATCAGTGAACCTTAATTACAAAGCACCGAGTAGTGGTCCCTAATCTGTCACAGTAGTTACGGTTGTTCATCTACATGTTTTCATAGTCATGGAGGTCACAGAATCATAGGATGGATGGGTCAGAAAGGACTCATCCAGATCCAACCCCCTGCCACAGGCAGGGACACCTTCCACTTGAGCAGGCTGCTCCAAGCCCTGTCTAACCTGGCCTTGAACACTGCCGGGGATGGGGAAGTCACAGCTTCTCTGGGCATCCTGTGCCAGCATCCTCACAATGCATAGTTTCTTCCTTGTATCTAATCTAAATCTCCCCTCTGTCAGTTTAAAGCCATTTCCCCTTGCCCTATCCTTGGTCAGCCTAGACTAAAGCATGTGTATGTCATCCTTTTTCACTCATTTGTTATCTGCACATAGCTGATGACCAGGAGGCACGCAAGCTATTCAACATATCTGCCACTAAGGGCTCCAAGTGAACAACAACCCAGGGCAGCAGACACACACAGACCCCCCCCAAAGTTTATGTTTTAAACAAAAAAAGTAGTTCAAGCAGCAAAACAGAAGTCGATGCCTTGAGTGTCACAAACAGTCTGTGGACATTCTGCAGTGGCAGTTACAAAACAGCCTTTGGATCCAGAGACTGGTTGAGAGCAGCATTTAATACTCAAGTTTAGGAGCATGCCAATCTTCCTTTCATACATCACTTGTGCAGAATGGACTATATTTGCCTTTTAGAAACATTAAGCATCTAATCAGCTAAGTCTGCAGAATTTCCCCAAGCTCTTTTTCATAGTTTGCCAGTCAAGCTTTATTAGCCCATTTAATATAACACCTCTAGATAAAGAAAACCATTAATATTCTTCAGCTGGAGGCCCCTCCCTTGTAACTTTGAGTTGTAAGAACTCACAGGTAAGCAAGCCGCATTTACAACCTGTGGCACTATTCCAAATCCAGTACCCACGTGTTTGCTTTTTGCTGGCCTTAAACTCATTTCTATTCCAACCCAAGTTAAAACATCTTGAGTAGCTGATGGTGATGCACCAACACACTACAATGATTTTCAGTGCTGCTTTGCTTAGCCTGCAGCATAATGCAGATCTACACCTGCAGTTTGTTACTCATTCCTCCTTTTGATTCAAAGGAAAAAATGAAGTAGTTTGATGACATTTGGCAAGCTTTCCAAATCTCCCTCTTTCTTAAACACAACATAAACCCTTAAGTATACCTTCGGATTTCATTTCTCGTAAGTTCCATTTACAAAGCACAGTTTCAAGGCAGGCAGAAATTGGAATCAAGCCACAGCAACTCAGAAGACCTTAACAAAAAGAACAGCCAGCTAATAATTCCCATCTGAGACCACCATACCAATCTTTGTATCTTACCTGTAATAGAACAGATCCCAGTTTGCTTCTATTTTTATTCTTTGGCGTCGTTTCCTCAGTATCACTGGCTTTTGAATTATATTCTGCAAAAGAGCCAAAAGAAGTCAGTGGAAACAGATACTGCCCTTTTTTCCCTTTTAAAATAAGAAGCTAGGCTTTTTTTTCACTCCTTCAAAAGCCACGCTGAGTTAAGCCTCATTAATAAGGTCTACTTTCCTAGCAAGTTGTAGCAACACACTTCCACAAGCGTTATTTACACCAAGTTAAATCATGCCAGAGAAGCTTTCAGCTGTTTAATGAGTCATTAATTCAGAAGCAAGTTACCCCTGAGAAAAGCTTAGTGCCCATCATCATAAACACTCATCAGGTCCAAAGCTGATGAAGGGGAAACCCCCAGGAATGCTTTGCTCTTGAAAGGCAATAACTGGAGCAAGTCCAAGTAAGTCACAATCCTGACTTGGCCACTGAAAGGTTCCCTAGCTTGACCAAGCATGAAATCGATGCTATACTCTACATGAGGCATCACATGCAAGCAGAAGTCTGAGCAACATAACCCACAAGCGGCAGGGATACAGACTCACCATATTGTTTCTGTCCTGATTGCGAAGGAAAGTTGGAAGAAAAAGAAAAGGTACATTTAACAAGCCACAGCCACTGAAGTCATTCCAAGTGGTAACACCAAATTTGCTACTCCCTTTGCCAAGCTACACTTGCATACGTTGACTGTGAAATTGAACAGCCCAGAAGTCCGGACAGAAAACTGCCTGTTTAAACTCAGTATCCAGACAAGATGTTTAAACTGCAGTTTGCCCTTCCGCCACTGTTGCCTACATTTCTGCATTAATACTTTGTTTGGAACCTAGGTCACCATTACTCCAGAAATATTACCTGTCAGAGTTCTGCACCACAGACTAAACCTTGAGCTAAGTTTTACCAAGTTAAGGTTTCCCTAGATTAAAGCTTGTTACATCCGATCAAATACAAAGGCAGGCATTTTCAATACTCCACACTGAGCTGCTTTTTTCATTCTTCCTTGCATAAGTAAGAGTGTTGTTTCATTTCCAGAATGCATAAAACTCAAGCTTAGCCAGAAGACTAGAGAAAGTTAAGGGAAATGCCTCATTATTCAAGGAGTTTATCATACAGAACATGACAATAAAATTAGAGGAAGAAGAGACCAACAGTAAGAACTCAAGCAGTGATTGCCTCTTATAACACCAGATGAAAACAGTCACTTATCACTTCAATGTTAACCACGGTTTATGTAGGCTATTATGCTGCTATTTAAGCACTGAGATACCTATATTCAAGGTAATACTAAGCTTCTTCTAGCAGGTTCCATAACTAAACCACCACTAGCATGAAGCACAGAATTTTGGATGCAAAGACCTAGTTTCTTCCAACTACAGCTTAAAAACTGGTTTGTCTTATTTCAAGGAATTTCCTATTCTCCTGTATAATTATCTTGGAAGAAATGCACATCAGCTGCAGTCCAGTTTGACAAGGTCAGCTAAAGCAAGAATAAGGTAAAGCTTAATACATATGCTGCTTTACATTGCTGCATTTACATGGAATACACTTCTAACTCAAAATGAAGCGTAGTAAGAGGCAAAGTTTCCTGAAAGTAAGCAGGACCATGGAGTTTCTCACATTCCTGCACTTCTATTACTGTCAAATCTCCCTCTGATTTCATGGACTTGTAGGTGTTCCTCTTTACACTTAGTCAAGTGCCTGTAGCAAAGAGCTCCAAATCCTTTTACCTCTTTTTGAGCTATGCCCATTCGATCTCTCCAGTGCATCAAGACTAGATCCACCTTCTCTTTGGCAAATTTTTCCACTTCTTTTGCAGCTTTTCCAGCCAGTCTCTGCCACTCTGGCACTTTATTAAACTTGCCGTACTGATCCTGCAGAATAAATCCTATTAGTTATTTGCAGTTGCACGTCTATCAATGCTTGATGCAGGTCAATGCTGCAGTCAAGTGTCTGCATTAGAAAAGTCAAAGACTGTACATCTATAAAACGTAAGAGAAAAGATATCTCCATTTACTTACAGTTGCAATTTTTAAGTTATCTCTAACATGCATCCTATCAGCATCTTTTTCAGGAACAGGATCAGCGCTGTCAAGGTATGCCAGCAAACCTGGTGGCTAAAAGCATTTAAAACCAGCGTAAATACGCATGCGGCTAATGGAACAGAAACCATCACATTAGGTAACAAGATCGTTTCTTTAACTTAAGATATTTCAAACCAGAATTTGCATGCTGCTCTAAAGTAAGTACGTAAAGCTACAGCAGCTTTCTGTTTTTATTAGTGAAATGCCACCATCTTCAACAGAACCATTCAATAGATGCACATTATCGCCTTCAGTAAAGCAGAGCTCCTGCCTATAGCCATTTCTTAAAGGAGTACTTAATGAAGCTAAGGACTTCAGGAAGAAGAGTTGATCCCACAGGAGTATTGAGGTGGGTGAATGCTGTAACACTTGAATCCATCCGTGTCCTCTGATATGGACTGAATGTTGCATGTGACATTAAGAGATTAGAGTCTCTCATCTGACTCAGCCTTCCGGAAGATAGTGATCAAGACTAGGACAGTCTGCTCTGCCAAATAATGAAGGAACTGCCATTTTGAATTTAAAAGTCAATTAATTAATCTGGTTAATTAAAAGTTAATTAATCTGCTATTTTTCCAGATTTAATAGTTCATTACAACACTGTTTTTTGAACTAGTTTCACTGAAGTAACTTGAGAACCTTTGAGGAGGCTGTAAGGGTGAAAGAACATGGGAACTATGAGCCAATATCTAAAGCTGTGTTATAAGCTAAGTTGGACAGGCATGAAAGAACAGACAGAATTGTTGCCTTAATTTCTTATTGGCACTGAGCATTAGAGGCTACGTTTACTGTGCCTCCAGATTTTTGTCCTTTTAATAAAGAAGTCAGACACCTTATTTTTGTGTCATACACCGGTTCTAGAAGTGGCAGGAAAATAACAGAACACTTTAGGAACCAGAGATGATTTCTACTAGTCATCAATATCTGTTCAATAGCAATGCCAGACTGCTATCTCCCAGGCTAGACCTCCCCCATGGAGCAGAAAAGGGTTATGCTTGCTCTATAAACTATCCCAAGTTTTCTAATACTACAGGCTCTCTGAGTTTATTCTTTCCCTACTCCGTATCTCATTTTTACTCACCAAAATACGTTTCAACAAGTTCATGGCAGTTTTGTTCTCAGCTGTCCAGAGGCCAACCAAATGTCTACTTAACTGCCTGGAAAAGCCATTGAAACTGCCTGTTAGTATTTTAAACAGCATTTTAAGCTACTAAACCAACACCCTTACCATGCTGGTGAAATGAAGACGAGCAAAAGCTTCATGCTCTTTAGTGAGTAAGAGCACAAAGCATTATATTGTTCCAGTTCAAGTATATGCTTAGCATGCTTTAAAGTGTTGCCTTTATGAAGTTCCAGTGAAGTTAGTGGAACAGTATCAGCACATGCTTTTTGATCTAGACCTCAAAAGAACACTTGAGCAATAGAGCAGAAACTAATAACCTAATAACCAAGAGTGAGTTTATCCACTCAATCTCAAGTTACAGTTAAAGTTAAGAGTCTAGAAACCATCAAGAACTCTTAACCGCTCCACTGGAAGCTCTTTATACCAGCTATTGGCTAGGAAAGCCTTTCTGGGAGCCCACCTTCTATGCCAACTGACACTTGCTGCCAACGTTTGTCTCTAGGGTTCTACTGCACTGAACTGAAGCATTGCTTACAAGTGAGTCATAAATACCAGCTCCAAACAGAACTGGTATGACAGAAGGTTTCTTACTAGCTCCCTCCTGGACAACACACAGAAGCAACAAGTTCCACTTGTCACTCCATTGCTTAGCAACTGTTCAAGCGCTTCAGAAATGTGTGGCTAAAAATGAAAAACTTCTATAATCTTCTATTTTGGTGGAACACATTTGAATTCTCACTCATCTTCCCCAGCACACCCGGAGGTTCGGTCTCACAGCTCCCAAGTTCTACTGACTGCTGAATTCAGGGAATGATTTCTGTATGAGGAGGCTTTTCTCAGACAAGGATGGGTGATCCTAACTGCATGCAAGATGTCCAGGAGCACACACCAGAATCTATACAGTTGTATAATCCAAGCTGAACCTTTTTACAGTTCCAGACATCCTACTTGCCTTTCCTTTCCCTGGATGTTTTCAGAAAAAAAACACACAAAAATCAAAACTCAAGTCTTAATGAGTTACTTAAGTGCCATTTTTTGGGGAAAAAAATAAGAAATCAAAAATTTATTAAGTGGTTGCAGTCTCAGCTGAAGTTTGATCTATTTAAACACAACAGCTGAAGGAAATATTCTCCTAAAGAACTGCAAGCTTTCTTCCTGACCTCCCAACTTTTGTAATGTTAGCTAGGCCATTACTTAAGACTTCTTAAACACAGCATATCAAGCGAGATGGACATACCTATTCGTAAGCATCCTCTGATCTGTGCTTATTGTAAACATAGCAGTGTGCAAGTGACGAGGTAAGGCACCTTCACTGAGGGCAAGATCTTGCATTTTGGTAGCAATCTCTTTGTCTCCTTCCTTTGGAAACAGGGCAAGATGATTACTAAAGAAAGAATCTTAGTTAAGCTGCTTTTATCTTAGTCTATAGTTCCAAGGCCTTCTTAACCATCAGTTACGTCAACTACTATCCAAAAGCCAGGAGCTAGAGTATGACGGGCTTTAAGTGCAAGTTCTCAACAGCAACTGATCAAAGCCATAGTAAAGTCATGGACCAGATAATTGGTAGTTACATCTATGAGGACAGTAACTGGACAGGGTAAGATGCACGTCTCCCATCCTACTTCAGGAGGTTTGTAGCATACATTTTACGAGTACCATTTCCACACTGCACTTGCAAATTAGGGTTAAAAAGAATGACAGCCACAGACTGTTGCTTGACTCTGGTCCACAGTAATAATTTAAGAGTAACTGGTGCTGTTTGGTTTAAGACAGCCACATGGATAAGACTGTCATTCAGGCAAGGTACAATAGTTGCAATGAATAATTAGAAAAAGCTTTCATTGCAGTTTTACTTGCCCATGTCCCACTGTAGTTCAAATGACAGGAGCTGTAGTAAATGGGATAGCAACTTTTAACTAACATTATCAGGTCTATCAGTGGAAACTTGCAGATTTACAATACCTCTATTTCAAGTGTTCATTCACTTCCATTCGAAGAATTTCAGATGCATAAGCTATTGTGATACAATGAGACACTAAAGCCCTGAATTTCAACACAGGAAGTGTCGAGAGCCAGTTAGCAAGGTCACCCTGCAACAATCATGAGCAGCCCTTGAGAAGTATGGGCTTGGCCCATACATCATGTGGTATGGAAACTAACAAAGCCAAATCACTGAAGCAGAGAGCAAGAACAGGCTGACATCACTAGTCTGCTCTGGGACATTACTGCCTGCTAATCCCAGTCCCATTCTGTCTGGCAGTGCATCCCAGGAAATACAGGCTCTCCCCCTTGAGAGACCCTCTTCAACATGCAGGAAAAGTCTGGTGGCTCTGAGGTATGTGACTGAGCTACACACAACATTAACAGCCAGATCTCAACTGCAGTACGAAGACATGCAAGGCGCTACCTAATGTCCCAACCAACTCACATGCCTTCCAACCCCCCAAGTGTCAGATAAAGCAAGTTGCTATATTAAAGCACTTACAGTTAAGCAGGTGTCCTGTTCCTCACCTTCCCACTCACCTCCCTCCCCACAAGAAGCCAATATACCAAACTTCTATTGCAACTGAACTTCTGAAACAGACAATACACAACAGACATGTATTATGCTATCCCAGGTAACGTTGATAAGGCTCACCTCTATTATTGCCTTCATTACCAAACCTGCTCCTTTCACAATTGCCATGGAAGGGTGCTAAAACAGAACATTGACAAAATCATTATCCAAGTGCAAAAATGTGAAGATCAGATCATCTTCCAGTCAGTTTCTTTATCACATCTACCTGGCTCTTCTACCTCCATTTCTGGGCAAAATTTAGTTCAGTTCTGTGAAAGCTAGCCCCAGGAAGAGTTCCTAGCCTATGCTTTTAAGCAAGGGTCTCTCATGCAAGTATCAGATGGACTTCTGAACAGCAGTATATAGCAGAGAAGCTGGAATAAGGCTGGGAAACTGTCTGACAAGCTGACACCAACCAAGAAGCAGAAGAGCATCCTGTGTTTTCAGAAAGAAAGCACTGACATTTTAGCTAAAAATCCTCTTATTCTTACAGGTGTAGCATTCAAGCAGATGTTACTCTTGTTTTGTAACTCCCTTAACTCTCACTTACCAAGAAACAAAAAGGTGGCAGATTCACCAAAGAGAAGAAGTCCTGTTCATCTGCTGAATCTAGCTTAATATTTAAGTGGTATTTTCAAGTGTATCTAGAAACAAGCCTTAGTCTATTCTACAATGATTTGGCATATCATCCACTATGGAATAACCACCTCAATCCAGTATTTGATGGTAAAATCAATAGGTCACTTAACTCACCACGGCAGAAAAAGTTTAGGCACATTAACCAGCTGAACAGTACAGAAATGTGTCTTTCAGGAGAAGAAGAGAAAGTTCACGTTCACTTACTACCTAAGGCCTCTAATGGTAATAAACCCCCCATTAAATCTTACCTGAAAGAGCTTAAATAGTGTTCTTCCATTAGATGCCACCATTTCCAACAACATGTCAAACTGCTGCCCCTCAGTAGTCTCACTATATGGAGCACATAGGGCAAATGTCAGGAAGTCCAGAAGTGAACTAATTACTAGGGCACCTGTCCCATGATCCTGAAATTAGGAAGACAAGTATGTAATACAGATACAGTGTTTCTCCCCTGCCCGGGGTCCTCATGGAAGTCTTAGTACCCATGATGCTGAAAGTGCTCCTCCTTGCCACATCTGCAAGCAAACACTGCAAGCTTAAAATATGCCATTACTCGAGTATGGCAATACTCTGGTAAAGTATTGGCTCCTAGTACATATCAGAGGCTCATGACCTCATATACTAGCGTGCTGAAATTACTTTCTCTAGTTTTAATCCCATAATTACCAGTTTACCCAATCTTCTCAGTTCCTTTTAGTTAAAAGGAACACCCAGTTTCCATATTAAACACGCCGACATCTGCTGCATGACACTCAAGTTCTGCAGCACAGACAGCTAAATTCTCACCTGTCAAGATCCAAGCTTATTTAGAACAAGCTTCAGTGCCAGACAGAGCTGTATTTCCTTTGCTTAGGTTCCAGGTACAAACACATTCAAAGATCTACCCAAGCATGATAGAAGTGTTTTCAGAGCAATTAGGAAAGACACTTAGGTAAGTTATTCGTTTGCAAAATTTGACTTACCACATGGGAATTGAATTTCTCTAGTAGGTTTTCTAGAAACTTCTTCGAAGAAAGAAGGGAAGCTTTGT